CATGAAATAAACATAAGCAAACTACACAAACAACTAATACTTCTTTCCCATTACATAACCAACATTATCTGTTTCAGTGTCTCTTCTTTCCCGGCTCAACATAAACCAATATTTCATCAGCTGGCAGATATCGAATGCAGAAATGCAGAATGTCTCATTTATTTAACTTTTCTTGTTTAGAAAACTCATACCAGCCAGTAGTAAGATACTTCTCCTCTTTGTCATCATTCCTCACTTCCAATACACAGTTTTCTGAAATACCCTTGTCTGAATTATATAACGCAACCGAGTTAACCGGTCCACTTAGGCATTTCTTAATCACTCCACGCGGTAGTTACTGCAAAACATATAGTTAAATTATATGAGATTAAACCATGAAAAAATGACATATACCGCTGCATGAGTTTACCTTTTATTACTTACCAAACATTCCTACTCATAACCTTAACATTAGATACCACACGACTCAAATTTTCTTTGTTTTCTTCCATATACATTGGAGTAAATTTCCTGATTCAATCACCAAACCAAATATATTCATAACAAATGTTATTTTTTTCTTCCACACATCTGATCCAATACATTTTATCCTTCTAAAGATACTTGAAAACTTCAACATATACCCCATTATTTACGGATTTTCAATGCAATTAAACTTTTCAAACAAAACTGCATCATAAAAAATAACACAACAAGATGATTGGGTTTTATTGTATTAGTATTCTCTATAATTCTGCTAAAAATAACCAGCCATGAGGGATTAAGAACTCCACACTTACAGAAATTCCGATCGAAAACCTACATAAATAATACGTGTATAACCTTATTATCAGCACTGTACGTCGATAATATATACATAATATTGTGCAACATTGTTATCATGAAAACAACAATATATATAAAAATTAGTTATACACCAGGAAAAAACACCTACATTTAATAATATCCATTCCTTTCAAAATATATTACTTTCAAAAACAAAATTTACCGACAGTTTGTTGTCCATTTGACACCTACTGAACTATTATTGATCCCTTTCCCTTTAACATCACATTTGCGTCCTGCCATTTGGGGTTCATCAGAACCTTTACATTTTGATGGAGAATCAAGATGTATTCCTTTTGATGGAGAATTAAGACGTACTCCGGACAGAGAACAATATTCTCTAAAACTAACGATATCCATCTTTATACCATTTTGTTGGCGAAACTTACATGAAGATTCAACATATTTCTTATAATTTTTTTCCTGATCTTTTGGCGTTGAACCAACAACGAATTCTTCGACACAGATCTGCAACAATATTCATCATGCAGAGATATTATTCACAACCTATATAACTTCTAGAAAACACATTATGGATTCCATGAACAAAATATCCAATACTTGAACATCAATAACTACAGACTTACCCACATGCATTTCGTTTCCCCCCACCATTCTTCATCTTCAACCGGAAGCTGAACATAGCTTTTCTTTCTACATCTACTTCGCGTTTTGATAAGCATCACTTTGTACTTTTGAGGGGAAGTGCTTTTACCGTATTTCTCACTTGCAACCCATTTTAACCCTATTACATATAATGTTCCTTTTGTACTTCCATTCCTTCTTTATCATCGGCCCAATGACCCATTTCACTCTCCATCTCTTTTTTTAAAATAAATTATTCCCTAATGTATACAATTGATTGACACCTTTTTATATTACATCTTTATAAAATATCTTTTTACACTAAATAAAATATACAATTTTAATATTACTTTATAAAATAAATAGATCAATGGTCAGGATGTAATCAATATTAAAATAAAACAGAGCCCACTTATATATGTACTCTCATTCTCACACGGTGTATACAAAATAGAGCCCTGTTCAAACCTAACCCTCCTTACACAGTGCGCCTTCTCCTCCTCAGATCAACCAAACATGGCCGCCAAAGACTTCTCACAAGCCGTAACCAACATCGAGGAAAAACCATCAAGGTAAGTTCATCGGTTTGATCTGTCATTCCCGAAGTGTTTCATGTTGTTTGATTTGTGAAAATGCACACTTATTTGTATTTGCGTGCATGTCTAACATTGGTTGTTTGTGGTCCTGGATAATGTTGTTGATGGTTAATGGGTTTGGAAACAATGTGTAATGTTTTTTTTCCTGCTACATCAGTAACGAAAACAATTATGTACAGTGAGTATTTAGGGTTTAATTCCTCTAGACAAACTTGAAATCATAAACATAGCATTTGCGAAACCGTTTATAGTTGTGATATAAGTAATATGTAGTTTCTGATTTTTAGTTGCAAATACAATGTGTTATCAGGTAACTGAAAACCTTTGGTGAATTCTTCGTTTATGTTGAAATATTGCAAGCCATATAGCCCTATTGATGAGAAAACTTTGGTACAAGACTGGAGTCAGGTTGTAACTGATCCCATGACAATGTGTTCCAATTCTCTTGTACGTACAAAACTCATCTGTATCCATAGCTTTTGATTGGGAACATTGGTAACAAAACTATACAAAACAAATTACATTTTTATTCTTCTAACAATAATTGTCCATTAACAGCAAATCCTGAGAAACATAATCAAAAATTATATTCGTGGAGGCGACAAGCCAATTCGACTTTTGGATTGCGACAACAGAGTCCCATACTATTGTATGTTGAAGAAGAGAAAATGGATTGTAGAAAGGTACCTTTTGGGTGATTGGTATGACTATGCTAAGCAAACCAATTTGAAGGTTGGTAATACGCTGCAGTTCTGCATCTGTTACCCTCCGGTGGACGAGATCTTTGTATCGCTGGAGCGTAGCAATACAACTGATGGTTGACGGTCATGGTAGGCTAATGCGTATGAGACTGATAAATAATGTGTATGCATAAACCGTAGTTTATGGAAATCTTTTTTGAAGACACGTGATGAACTCAATCTAGTTAAGGTGTTTTGTTTAACTAAAAATAATATATGTTTATGCCAAAATTTGTGGTATTTTTTGTTCTCGTGACTGTTAAGTCTGCAACTTATTCTATGTAGCTTGTGTGAACTATGTATGGTTGTAGTAGTTTTGGGAGTATAATTATGGATAATGTTTGACACTATTATATTTATGAATGTTGGTACAACTAATGTTTTGGTTTATATTACTATTTAATTTATTGGATAATTACTTATATTTGTCTCATATTATATTGTTATTATCAATATATATATTATTTATATCAATTATATACTATTTAGCTTTCAGGAATATAAATGGTAATGAGTATAATACTTACATTTTATTGAAATATGATAAATTTATAGCTTTTGAACGATTATACTTCAATTGTAGTTATTTTTTATTCATACACGATCTCTTCTTAACTTAATACAAATGTTTATAACTATTGAACGATGATAGATTTTAATTGTAACTATTTTTTTTTATACATAAACTCTGGATATCCATACAAACGTACAAGTATCATACTAGTTGTCCATGTAACTTTTCCTTATCTATTCTTATATGGGTGTATTTAGTTTATTATTTATTAAAAAAAAGGTAGAATCAATAATAATTCCTCATGTAATAAATTGTAAATGTGTGTTTTGAAGAATTAATAGAGTAGGAGAAGTTAATAGAAGGAGAAAAAGAAACGATTGTTCCATAATAAATACTGATGAAACTGAAGGTATCAAAATTTAATGCATTAATGTGTAGATTTATTTAATCTAATGATCATAATTAGTGGTACACAGTTGAGGGACTTAATTGCACCCTCACCTAAGAGTCACCCAAAATATTAGTTTTAAACATTTAATCAACCACAATTTATTTTATTAAATATTAATTACTTAATTACATAAATATTAATAACAGTCTATTTTAATTAAAAATAATAAGAACAATTAAAGAAATAAAATGAAGAAGAAGAGAAAGACAATAAGGTGAAAGAAAAAAAAAAGTTACAACGTGAAAATGCCCTCTTACTCCATAAGTGCTTTTTTCATATAAATGCTTTTTTCTTTCCTTTTTTCTTACGTGCAACAACAGCAAGCGAGAAGGGATTACCGGGGAGAAACGAACGGTGGAGGTGATACGAGACCGGTGGTGTTTAGTGGTGGTATTCGCGGTTTGCCGGCGAGCAGTAGCGTTTCTGAATGACGGACGTTTGCGTGACCAACAACGTTCAGTTCTGATTGAACGTGTTTGGAAATGACTCGTGTCAGAATTCGTGAGTTCTCTTTTTCTTTTCTTTCACTTTTCAGCTCAATTTTTGTTGCGGAATCGTTGTTGTGTTGTTATTCATTGTTTGCAGGTCGTGGTTTATGAATTTGTGAAGAATTGTGTTGCCGAATTGGTCGTTTCGCGCTATGCACACCAAGTGTTCGGTAAAATACCCGAATCAAGTTCTTTTGTTTTTCTGCTTCGAATTTTCTTGATTGCAGGTCCGTGTTGTTGTTTTTGTTTTTCTGTTATGCATTGGCTTTTTCAGAATTAATGGTCCCTTCTCACATGTTCACATCTTCAATGTACCCCCCTGTTTTAGAAAAGCCATTTCCATATACTACATTAACAAAGCTAAGCGTCTAATATTAATATTACATATACAAAAGTGGTATCTATCAATTTATCATTTTTGTTAGTATAATGACACCTATATTTGTATACAGGTTAGCTCACTTGTTGTTTTTATGAGTATACTGGGTATCTCATTCTGTTTTAGTGTTATTATAAAAAGTGAGGTAAAAAGTTAACATCTTAGACATTATTACAATAGTTTTCCTGTTGGTTTGACCCTGATATATTGTTTTGTCCCTGATATATTGTTGAACTAAGTTAAATACAACTTAATTTTTAATTGACATCGCCTTTTAATATAGTTGAATTAATTGAACCATGATCTGAATATCTCACTAATTCAATCTCCGTTCTGAATTTTTACACATTTATCTATATTCATGTCTCAATTACTTTATTTTTCTCATTCAATGTTATGCCCTTTGCTAATTGAAGTTCTGAATGATCAAGCAAATTATTACACAATTGCAACTCCAATATCAAACATTTGTTTATGGATTAAGTATAGAAATACAACCCTTAACTCATATAGTTAACACCACTTTATGTAGTGGAAGAGCTGTCTATTGGTTATATAACATTGTTATTTTGTTTTTGACTTTTTCTAATACACTGCAAAGTATTTTTTGAGTATTTCTAATACACTTGTTCTTTAATCTATAGCATTTCAGGATCACAATAATAAATTGGCTCAGTTGCGCGAGCTGGGAAAAGCAGCAAAAGTAAGTTTATCATTGCTAAATTCATAACTCAATCTTCACTCGACGGATGGGAAACTCGCCAAGGAACTTACTTTCAAACATATGATCTGCAAACTGCAATTGTTCTTTTTTTAGTAGAATAGATTTTTACTGCCTCTTGGATTATGTGTTCCCTTGAGCTTTTGATAGATGAAAAATTGATGATTAATAAGGGAATAAACTTGTTTAAGTGTGAGTGAGTATCATAAATCTCAGGCAGTGCTAAAGATTTGGTAAAACTGATGTTGGATAGAGACCTTAAGAACAGAATCTCTGCTCATAATGTCTTATGGGAGTTCCTTCGATACTGATTTTTACTGCATTTTTCGTAGCAGAAAGACTTTCGGAGGAAGAAATAGGCGGGCTGAAAGTGTTATTCAAAATGATCGACACAGACAACAGCGGGACAATCACTTATGAGGAACTCAAAGATGGTGTTTTATATGTTTTCAAAAAACTTTCTCTTGTGAACTTTTGCAGGCTGATATCGACAATAGTGGAACAATAGATTACGGTGAATTTCTTGCTGCTACACTCCACTTGATTAAGTACTCTAATATTTGAAGTTTATGAATGCGTTAGCTTGCTCCAATAATGGGTCATTTGCTCCAGAGTTATGATAAGCGAATCGAGGGCTCCGACGGAACGTTTGGTGTGTGGTGTTTTTGTTTTGAACTCTATTTAGTACCATTATGTCATTTTTTTAGGCTTGATTAAATATCATGTTAGGCTTTATTAGTTATCACTTAATTAAATCAGCTTGTATAGAGAATGTAAGTGTGAAGTTTAAATATCAATGACATCAATAATTTTGTATTTTTAACACAGTAGCATGTCCTCATGGAAAATCCATGTGATCTTGAAATTTGGATAATGTTGAATTTGCTTTATATTTCCTTATCTTCTGACTTCATCTTTGAAATTTGTTCTTTACATTTCAGTATTTTATCTTTATCTTATGTTAGTGGTCATTAGAATCAAGATCACGCGGTAAATGATTTTGATTGATTGCTTGTAATTGAAATCAATACTTTTTTTTGGTATGTTTAGGTTTTGTTGGATTTTTGTGTTGCTTTATATTTTAAAAGATGAACTTTTTTGTAGGATAATGAAGTCATTGCAAGGAAAGTTGCAGAGTTTAGAGAAAGACTCATGAATGAACTTAAAAGGCCTTACTGTGAGAAAGAGTGCACAAGACTATTTCCTAAATCCTAGCCAATTCTACAGAATTAAGTTTACTTCATGTCTAACAGCAACCGTTTGGCACAGCTGAAGAGGATGCATATAGGAGGGATTTAACAATCAACAGGTATCCTTCTGTACTTTAATTTAAAGTGTTGTTACATAAAATAAAGAAAGAAGTGCTAAACTACGTGAAGTTAAACATGACAGTGGTTAAAACTTTAAGTGCATGAAGCGATACAATTAAGAAATATGCTGGTTTTGGAGAAAACGCTGGGGTAGCACCTATTGTGAATATGGAAAAGATGGTAGGATCTCATCTACGTGATTGAGGCATTATAAGGGAAGGCTTGTTGAAGCCCGAAGTAGATCAGATGGTGTATGGAGATTAGTCCAATTATTAGGGAGACTTAGAAAAACTATATGTCAAACCATTAAGAATGATTTATAGGACACTACAGTGTTGTCTAATCATGCAGTTCACATTAGAGGTGGACAAACGGTCGGTTATGGTCGGTGACGGACTCAAAATGTCAATCCATATGAAACCACTGTTACAGAATTTATATCCAATGTCGACCGTTCTTTCGGTTTGCTCAAACTTCGGATTCGTTGGGTGTCGATTGAACTCGGGTGGTTCATTTCGGATCATAAAAAGCAAATTTAAACAGAAAAAATTGAGAGAAGACAAATAGATGAATTAGATATTAAAGAAGAAGAAATGACAAGAAAAAATAGCTTATCATGGATATGAATGCATATATCATGCTAAACCTTTGCATTCAAAGTAAACCATGCTATTGTAAAATTGTTTAAGGAAAAATGAACTTGATATTCTGTAGATGCTCCCCCATTAATGTTTTCTAGTGCACCTTTTCTTCCATTGGCTATTCTACTATCAAATCTCACACATGAATGGCAAACTTCACTACAAGGTGGTTATACAACGCTCACCATATTTTAGATCTAGGTTGCTACATCATTGTTTTGTAAGAACAATCAAGATAACATAGGGAAGAGAAAGGCGTGTTAAATAGTCTCTTTTAAGAAAGAAAAGAGAGATGCAGCATATAGTAAGAGAGAGAAGTATTTGAGATAGAAATAAATAATAGAAAACTCATTTGTCTAGTCACGTGAAGTAAAAATATCTACAATGACAAAATTATTCAACATCTATTTTTTTCCATTTTTTACACTCCACATCATCTTTTCTCTTCCACCTAATAATTTAACACCCATTCAACTTTTACTCACTACAATAATTTTGTTTAATAAAATTCAACACCTTATCCCACCATTTTTATTTCATATTTTTATTTTCTTTTTCATGTTTTTGTTTTTTTGATTATATATTAATAATAATTATCAATTGAAATTAAATTAAAATAATTAAGAGTTAAATAATTTATTTTTTGGGTGCTAAGAGGGTTATTGTTGGGATTCATTTCACTAAAAAATTGTTTAGAGCTACAAACAATAATTTATTGGAGGTTAAATAGAAAAATTAGAGAGAAAAAATAGATTTTTTTCTTTGTCCAAATCAAATGAAATAAGGCTCTATTTATAGACAAAAAAATGATGAATTTTGGTGAAAATAAAAATAAATAAAAAATTAATTTTCTATAAAATAATTGACTCCAAATAATTTATGTGAGATAAAAATATAAACAATCACAACAACCAATTATATTTTGCAAAGTATTATAAGTGGCCTCCACTCATTTCTCATTCAACATGTTGAATGTTTTCAACACAAATTAATCCATGTCACATTCAACACCTTATTCAACAATCCATTGGAGCAATTTAACTATTGAAAAATTTATTCAACACCCCCATTGCAAGTAGTCTAAGAGGCATAGTCTGTACTCTGCATTTTTCTGAAAATGTGAGTCTCAAGATTTAATTGTCTAGTCACATCTATGAAAATTAATGGAGTAGTAGTAACACAACTGTGCTACACTGGTCGATTTCGGTTTCTAAAGGGTTCTATTTTGACATCCGAGCCTGCCCACTTTAAGTCACATAAAATCGAAAACAAGTACCCGAAAATTCGACGGTTTGAAAAAACCCAACCGTTTGTTAATTTATGAACATGGTTTTAGCGGATTTGGACGAGTTTCAGATTGTTGTCCACCCTTATTCACCTTGTTAAACTAGACAACACTTTTTTTGTTGTACTAGTTGACTTTGTAGCGATAGAAATGTTGAGACTAAGTCATTGTATTAACTTAACAAGTACAAATCAAATAAAAATCGCTACCGCGCTTTATTGTTTTCAAAAGAAATGAGAAAAGAGCGAATAAACCCAAAAAAGAGGGGGAGAATCTAGGTACGGAGGTTGATTATGCAAAGGGAATGTATTAGCATCCTAAATATCTATGGTATTCCTCAAGAATCTCTTTGAAAATATGTGTATTTTGGCTATAAAAGGTGTATACGAAAATAGGATGGTGGAGATGAGAAAAGATGTATTTTTTTACAATTTTGCATCCGCCGCAGTTGCGAACCTTTAGTGCCTACACACCACCTTTCGTGCAACAGGGGATCAGGGTACTTGTAGTTCATCTTAAACATTTTAAAACACAAGTGTGTTGGTTAATTTTAAGATAAGAGACAACATCATCATATCCGAGTGAAAAACATACTTACTACCCACGATTATGAGAAAGAAGAATTTGCATCATCTCAAAGTGGAGGATATAGTTTGGATTTTAAAATCAACAAAGCCTCACTCAACACTGTTGTACCCCAAAATTTGCCCTCCCATATTCTTCAAAAATTGCCAAGTCAAAGCTTCAAAATTCCCCAAGGGTTGCACAGTTCAAGGGCCTTCTAACAGTCAAAACTAGGGTTTTGGTTCTGACAAAGTAAATGAAGTTTCCAAGGGTCCAATCAAGTCCCACATGCCTACAATTATGGTCAAGCATCCTCATACCAAGTTTCAAGACTTACAACACAAAATTGCACAATCAAAAACCCTAATTGCACTACAGTCAATTGTAGGGGCAAAATGGTCATTTGACAGTCAAAAGTTCAAATTTTTGGTCAACATCTCATTTTGAAGCCACAAACATCATTTGATCAATGCTTGATCATGATTCTCAAAGCTTGGCTCAAAAAGTCTCAAGATGCAAAAGTTTCCATATTTGGACAATTGAAAAAGTCAACTGTAACTTGACCAAGGCATAACTTCCACATGGATTATCAGAAAAATTCCATCCAAAACTCATTTTGAAGAGAAAGACATTTCCTACAACTCCTCTTCACACTTCAAGTCCAAGAAATGCTCTCACAAAAAGTTATCAATTTCAACATTATAGGTCATTTTCAAAAGTCAACAAAAAGGGACTTTAAGTCAAAGGCCATAACTTGAGATTGGTAAATCAAAATGACATGGGACCAAAGACATTGGTTAGAGGACTCAAAGACCTTTCCAAAATGTCCAAGAACATGAGCAAAGCTTAAAAATTGAGCAAGATATGCCTTGTGGAAGTTGGGAAATTTTTGGGTATTTTGAAAAGTCAACATTGCTTCAAAAGTCTTAAAAATGCTAATGGGCCACATTTTCTTCCAAGAATCATCATCCAAAGCATGTGCACGACCATTTGGCCCAAAGGGAAGTTTTTTATCATTTTTATTTATTTATTTGGATTTTTAATGGCTAAAAATTCATTTAATTAAAATAAATAGGTGGAAAATATCAAAGCAAGTCAATAAAATCTTTTTGTGCATAGGATAACTTCAGATTTTCGTGCATTATTAGATAGGGAAAGAATCCATGTGATTGAACATGATTTGGTAGCAAATATGCATGAAAAGATTTGAAAATTATGGCATGGAAAATCAAATATTTTCTCATCAATTCATGGATCCTTTGGCTCAGATTTTTTACCCTAATCATTCCATACATAAGCATGAAGCCAACCCTAATGCCAATGACCCCCCAGCTGCGCCATAAAAGCATAACAAAGTTTGAGTTTTTGCCTAAAATTTCAAATACTGAAAACTAGGTTACAGCACGATTCAGAGGCCAAGATTAATCTCAATAGCTTGCAAAAGTGCTACTGAAGCTAACTGAATAGTTTTCCAACCCTTACACGCCCATAATTGGTATAGGGAATTCAAACTGTTTTCAATTTTATGCATAATCGTGTTTTAATATTCAAGCATTTTCATTGCATTTCTTTTATGGATTCATACTAATTGATGGATTCTAAAGCTAACTGCATACTTTAATTGAGTTTTTGTGCACTATTGGAGATTTCACCATTGAAGCCAGTTAGGGTTCTTCAAATTTGAAATTGGGCGTTTATGCATTTGGTAAAATTAGAACATCACAATACCATGGTTGAAACCAGCATGCTTGGACGATTCTAAAGCAACCCTCGCGCCTAATTTATGTAATACTATGGCCTATTCGCTATTATGGAGAACTACATATTTTGGGGGGGTTCAAAACCCCCGCTAACCTTTTTATATTTCAGGGTTCAACGAAGAAGAAGACCCTGTGGCAAGCTGTGATTGGTTGGTTTGAAATTCGCGCGCGGAAATTCCACTAACCCTTATTTTCTCTTATATTATTTGTGTGTTATTTTATGTACAAACGCGCATCACTAGCTCCACTGGTCAGGCTTGGCATTGGTAATCTCTAGGACCTGGGTTCGAATCCCAGGTCCCCCTCCCTTTCAATAATATTTTTCCTAACTTAATCCTATGCAGATTCGCTTCCAGGGTTCCACCATACAACCCCTGATCTAACCATGCCACTTGGCCAATGGAGACAATCTGAAGGCCTAGATCTGGTAAATACCATGGACATGAGTCAACGCCTATGCACGCTACCCTGGAAAGTCAATAAGGCCAAGGATAATTGGGCCATAATTGCTACAACAAACCCTCCAATTTGGGGACAGACCCCCCATGGTTTGCCTTTCTAATTCTTTTTCTCATATTTTTCTATTTTTGTTTTAATTAGTTTTTTAATTTAATTCTTTAATTTAATTATTTTCATAAAAATATAAAAATAACAAAAAAATCAGAAAAGACAAATTAAAAATATATTTTATTTTAATATTTTTTAAGTAAATATCATTATTAATTATTTAATATTATTTTCGTAAATAAATCTTGCCATTAATTAATTAATTTTAGGTTTAACTTTTAACATGTTTTCTTAATAAATAAAAAGGACTAGAATTAGGGTTAATTAATATTTTAATTTCGTTTAATTCACATAAAAAACCATAAATACAAAAAACCTCAAAAATAATTTCTTTTTTTCATTTTTATTTAATTAATTTAATAATTTAATTTAATTTCATTAAAAAGGGTCCAACGCCCTCGCTTCCAATTGTAATTCCAATTCGCGCATTTTATTTTATTTCTTATAATATTAATGTAATTCTCCCAAAGCCTTGTAAACTCGGACATTTAATTTCTCGCACTTTCCGTTACTTCTTTACTTTCTGTCAAATCGGGTCCTGGATTTTAATTTGGCGATGTGGACCCGCGCCTTTGTAATAGTTTAGAACTTTTAATTTCCGCATCTTTTTAACTGTTAAATAAATGCATGCAAGAATGAATGGCCTAAAATAAAAACAAACGCATAGATCACCCATACATGACAAGACAAAAATAAATGAATCTGACACACAAATCACACACCACCCCTAGGGTACGCCTCACTGTTGCC